GTAATTCAAGGATGGATTAGGAGGACTTAAATGTTAGACTAAAAACCATAAAAAAAACCCTTAGGGAAAGAAAACCTAGGCAATACCATCAGGACATAGGCACTGGACCAAGGCCTTTCATTGTCTAAACAACCAAAAGCCAATGCAACCAAAAGCCAAATTGACCAAATGGGATCTAATTAAACTAAAAGAGGGCTTTCTGCACAGCAAAAAGAAAAAAAAGAAAAGGGAAACTACCATCCAGAGTTTGAAACAGGCAACTTAACAGGGAATGGGAGAAATTTTTGCAATCTTATCATCTGGACAAAGGAGGCTAATATTCCAGAACCCTTACATAAGAAGTCCAAAACAAATTTACAAGAAAAAAACAACAACCCCCATCAAAAAGTGGGCAAAAGGATATGAACCAGACATTCTCAAAAGAAAGGGGACATTTCCATACAGCCAAAAACAAGACACATTGAAAAATGCTTCATCATCACTCACCAAGTTCAGGGAAGAAAAATGCAAATACAAAAACCCAAATGGGAATCCATCTCACCACCTGTTAGTTATTAGCAAATCATTAGAAAGTTTTCAGGAAAACAACAGGTTGCTAGAGAGGATGTGGAGAGAAATAGGAACATTTTACACTTGTTGTGGTGGCTGTAAAAATAGTTCAAACCATTGGTGGAAGACGTGTGGCGACTTCCTCATATTGATTCTTCCTATCCATGAGCATGGAATGTTCTTCCTTTGTTTGTGTCCTCTTTTATTTCATTGAGCAGTGGTTTCTAGTTTTCCTTGAAGAGGTCCTTCACATCCTTGTAAGTTTGATTCCTAGCTATTTTATTCTATTTGAAGCAATCATGAACGGGATTCACTCATGATTTGGCTCTCTGTCTGTTATTGATGTGTAAGAATGCTTGTGATTTTTGCACATTGATTTTGTATGCTGAGACTTTGTTGAAGTTGCTTATCAGGTTAAGGAGATTTGGGGCTGAGACGATGGGGTTTTCTAAATATACAATCATGTCATCTGCAAACAGGGACAATTTGACTTCCTCTTTTCCTAATTGAATACCCTTTATTTCTTTCTCCTGCCTGATTGCCCTGGCCAGAACTTCCAACACTATGTTGAATAGGAGTGGTGAGAGAGGGCATCCCTGTCTTGTGCCAGTTTTCAAAGGGAATGTTTCCAGTTTTTGCCCATTCAGTGTGATATTGGCTCTGGGTTTATCATAAGTAGCTCTTATTATTTTGAGATATGTTCCATCATGAATGTTCTGGTTTCTACTGTGAGTTTCTTCTTCATTTTCAGGGATGCGTAGCCACGTGGTTTCAGTGGCCCCCTTCCTAAGCCATCAGGGCAGCTGGGGGAGCCCATCATGGAGCTCACATTCAGACTGTTGAGGCAGGTGAAGAGGTTCTCTGACATACAGCAAGTCCTGTCACTGGCCTGTTGGTTCCATTAGAGAAATTCAAATCTCTGAACCATGATTGTCACTGCTATCAGGACCCACGTTTACAAAGAATCTGAAGAGCCGGGCATGGTGGCGCATACCTATAGTTCCAGTTACTCCAGGGCTGGAGGCAGGAGGCTCGCTTGAACCTAGGAATTTGAATCCAGCCTGGGCAATAGAGTAAGACTCTGTCTCTAAAAATAAAATAATAATCTGTCGAATGCCTTAATCCTCCTTTTACCAGGAAGTAAAAAGAAAAGGAATAATGAAAGAAAGTATGTTGGATTGTTAATAAAAATTTAAACATAGCAGACCTTTGTGTATCACATAGATTTTGGTATATAAACATCACAAAAGACAAAAGAATACCATCACAGGTCTTTTTTCTAGCAAAATAAGATGATTGAAGTTCTTGCTGCAAAATATCATGTGATGAAATCCCTATCAAAGTGGGTAAGAGTACTGTATTTTATTTTTGTCCTTAGAATTGTATCATTGGCTCCTGGATTCTTGAATTTGAGAAATTCATCTAGGATATCATCATCTGAGGACTCATAGTCTGAGATTTTTGTTGTACAATCAGTTCTACCATTATTTGTATCTGGAGTGCTATATCTTGTATCTTTATGTTCCTCTTCTGGTTCATCTAATTATTGTAAAAACATCTTCCTTTGTCAGTTTTCTTCTCTTTGCTATCACAAGTAGAAAATGAAAAAATTCTAATTCCTAACTGCATTCAATGAAAGCTAAAAGCAGACTATGAAGAAAGTATCTCTAGTCTTAAAAAAATCTTCTTGAAAGATAATACAATACTTTGGGCATGGAAGAATTATGACTTATTTCACTCGTTCATCTTCCTTCTAGGCAACTTGACCATTCTACCATTTTCTTACTATTTAATAATTGATGAATAATGATGCAATAATTTATTGGATGACAAAATAGTGAAATGTTTCAAGATATAGAAAAAATAAAATCAGGAGCCAATAATGAATCTTGGATTTATAAAAGGATCTAATGGATTCATATGATGATTACAAGATAGAATGAGTTTTATCCTTTTAAAACATGAATAAATATTGTCTCTGATCTTTGAAAGACCTCTAAAATACATAAAAGTTGTGAAATATCAACACTCACAAGTATAGTTAGAACTGCTCAAAAAGAAACTCAAAAGCTACAGTTGAGTCCGACGGACCTTGTCTGGCCTCACTGAATATAAAGATCCAGGGATCTCTAGATTTCCATTTGCTTCAAGATAGAATAAAATGTTTTCAGGTTATGGGTCAGAAGGAACAGAATATGTGACACTAACATATTTTCTTATTTAGGGGGCATCCGAGTGGTTGTTGTCAATGCCAGCTATACTCAAATTTCAGACTGGACAACCAGCTTAAGCTGTCTTCTCTTGTTCAGCCCTTCTTTCCAAGCATAGATTACATCCTGTAGCTATAAGCTGTAGCGTTAGGGGCCTAGTAAAGAGACATGTGCGCTTCATTACATCTAAAATGATCGAACTCCTCATATCCAATCCCCTTGCTTTAATCTGCTATTGCAAAATTCATTTAGCAAGAACGTCGGAGACACACAAACCCAAGATTGAGCCACAGCGCCCTCTGGTGTGATTGTACGGTGAAGCGAAAGCCAATTTCTGTGACTCATAGGAAATCATTTCTAAACAGTGTTTCTAAGACGAATTTGCGTTCTTTCCAGGTGAGTGGATCCCAAGTACTGCAGACTACGGTAAGACCTTTTCTTCACTTGTCTTCCCTGGTGGGGTTGGCCAGTTCTCCTCTGCTGCTGTTGGCTAGTTGAGGCTGAGCACAGCCCAGGTCACAGAGCAAACACCCGCCTTGCGAATGCAGGAATGCCGGGGAGACAGGAGACGTGGGTACCAAGACCTGGGGCGTATCCCAAGTGCACACTGGGTCAATCCCAGCTGTCGTTCGCCTTCCTCTTGCTCTCTGACTCTCAGTCATTTATCAGATGAGGTTAGCTTCAGTTTGGTGTGAGGAGAGATAGTTGAAAATAAAGGTCAGTACCTTTTCTTTCTTTCTTTCTTTTTTTTTTTTTGAGGGAGTCTTTCTCTTGCACCCAGGGTGGCGTGCAGTGGCCCAATCTCAGCTTTTTCCTGCCTCAGCCTCCAGAGTAGCTGGTACTACAGGCACCCGCCACCACGCCCAGCTAATTTTTGTATTTTTAGTAGAGATGAGGTTTCACCATGTTGGCCAGGATGGTCTCGATCTCTTGACCTCGTGATCCACCCACCTCAGATTCCCAAAGTGCTAGGATTACAGGCGTGAGTCACTGCACCCAGCCAACCTTTCTTTTCACTAATAATGACAGGTATCTTGAAGATAACTAAACTCTACCAAGTACTTGCTATATACCATGCGTAAAATGATTTTCATGTATGAAATGAATTGATATATTTAAAAAATACTTAAAATACCACCTGGCACACAGTAAGTGCCCAACTAATGCACATAGTGAGTGCTATTGTCATGAAATCTTCCCAAGAACACTTTGAGGTAAGTAATATGATTATGCCCATTTTGCAGATGGGAAAACCAGGGCACAGTTAGCTAATTTGTCAATATTTCTATGTCTAAGATTATGTGTCTGGTGAGTAGCAGGGCAGAGATTTGAGCCTAGGATGGGTGCCTCCTCCTACCCCTGTCCTGGTCTTTGACTTTGGCTAAATGTCCCCGCCTCTCCAGTGAGAGTGTGCAGACCTTTGTGCCTAAGTTTGATTTTTCAGGGTCTTCTATGTGTTCACTTAGGATGACTCTGCTCCTGGGCCCTTGGCCCTGTTGAGGTCAGTCCCTCCCTTTCCAAGACGTGACTTGAGAGATCCAGAAATGGCCTGGGAAAGGCAGCTTTCTGACCAACACCCAGCAAGGGAGAGTCTGAGGCCGGGAGACTGAGCACTTTTCTGGAAGAACCATTCACAGGGTGACCAGGAGGGGGCGCATTGCCCCGCTGAGCCTCTAGGTTCATCTCTGCACCAGAAGAGGTGCAGATGGCATAGAAGGTAGCGTGTTTAGCTCCTAAGAGGGGCCCTTCTGAATAAGGCCTCAGGTCTGAACAGGCATCTCCTCCGTGGATTATGTCCCTGAATCTGGGGAGGGACAGAGCATGGGAGGTCCTGAATGTATTTTGGGGATGCCCTGAAGATGGTGCAGCTGGCCTTTCCTCCCTGTGGGAGAAAAGGCAACCTGCCCCCTTCCCTTGCATCCCATTCCAGCCTCTCACTCTGTGACCACAAGTTTCTCATAATCTCAAACTCACCATTGAAAAGCCACTCCCAGGATCTGGCTGGTACTCTCAGGACGGTGGGCTGTACCCCTCAGGACCTGTGCCTCTTTTCCTCACACCATCAATGCAGGTTACCCCAGTGGGTGGTCTAGTGGCGTTGTGTCAGGCAGGAACATGGTACTTATTGACTTCCCAGCATGGCCAGCTCTGTGGTGGGAAGCAGGCTGTTTCAGCCCCTCCCAGGATAGGAGGCTGGAAAAGTAGGTCAAAGCTTGCTCTTGGACTTGATCCTGATGGGACTGGAGAGTATATTGAAGCATTTTGAGCAAGGAATTGAATTGAATATATTTGTACTTTGTAAAGATAAAACTTGAAGACCACCTGGAGACTGATGAATCCTCTTAGCACGGAAATGGGCACAGAGTAAGCACTCCATCAATGCTGGTTGAATCAATGAATGTGAATGGACTAGAGAAAGGAAGAGCAGAGACTGAGGATTCAGCTGGGAGGAGGCCAGGTTCAAGGGGATGAACGCTTATCCCAGTGAAATGGCAGTGGGAATGACAAGGAAAGAATGACCTTGGTGATGTTAGATATAGGACGTGAGGAGAAGGAGGAGTCGAATATGATGCCCTTGTTCCCAGCATGGTTGATGTGGAGCATGATGACATCCTTAATTCAAATGGAGGGAAGACGCTGTGTTGAGTTTGGGATGATGTGGGGGATAGGATGGCCAGGAGGCCACTGAAAATGCTGGTCTAGAGCTCAGGGCTGGTCTGTCAGGGCTGAGTCAGGATCAGAGAGGTAGATTTGGGGGTCTTCTGGAAAGTTCTCAGAGTACATGAGGTTCTCCAGGGGGAAAATACAGAATGAGAGGAGGGCAAAGACAGAACATGGAAGAACAAGGATATTTAAGGTCCTGTGGGGAGAAGGACTATAAATAGGCAGGGTGGTGAGAGGAAGAAGGGGGAGTGAGGTGGGTAGGGATGCAAGTCAAGGTGGCCAAGAGCACCAGGATAAGGGCTTCTCGCTGTGTCACTGCAGGTCTGCCTCTGAGACTGGTGAATGGAGGTGACCTGTGTCAGGGCCGGGTGGAGGTCCTGTACCAAGGCTACTGGGGCACTGTGTGTGATGACAGCTGGGATGCCCAGTATGCCAATGTTGTCTGCAGGCAGCTCGGCTGTGGCTATTCCGTGTCAGCCCTGGACGGGGCCCACTTTGGTCAGGGCTTGGGAAACATTCTCTTGGGTGACGTGCATTGCTCGGGAAGGGAACCCTACCTGTCAAGCTGTCCCTACAGCGGATGGCATAACCACGAATGTGGCCACAGAGAAGATGCCGGTGTCATGTGCTCTGGTAGTGTGGATATCACCTTGCTCTGTGTATGTGCAACTCTGAGCCAATATCAACACAGATGAGCACGTGTGTGTATGTATGTGTGTGCTCTGCAGCTTACTTGCTTTGCAGTAAGTCATGTCTTAATTGATATTGGAGGGCAGGTGGTTACTGGCCCATTTCATAGACAATGAAGGTCAAGGGATCATCAGCCTGTCCTGAAGCTGGATGTAGTGGAGGCAGGCTTCAGTCTCAGGCCCCCAGAGCCTGCTGATGCAATCATCTCACGGACTGGTTCTGATGAGCAGCATCACGACCACCCCTGGCCTCGGATACCAAATAAATATCTTCCTAAGTGGCAGTTTCTCCTCCTTTAAAGGCTGAGGAAGATGGGGGAACTTAAAACATAAATGTATACCAACATCAAATTGAGGAGTAACGCAAAGCATTCTCTTTATTGGGAATTAAATAAAGGATACTTAAAATCCTCAATGGAAAAGAGAACTTCTCCTGGACCCAACCCAGCAAATCTCAGTGCTGATGTCCTTTGTTCACATAGTGCCAGGATGTGCACAAAGACCAAGGGGTTCTTTGATCCACAAATAAACCTCCAAGGACACTGGCCAATGGCGTGCTCCCCAAAGAGGAGTTTCGGGTTAAACTGTCCACTTCTAGAGGAACCGTGGCATTTGCTGTGTGGACTGGCCTGAGCCCATGCCTCTGTGCATGGGATGTGCCCTTGATAATCCAACCACCATGTAGGACTGGGCTCCCCAAGAGGGCATGGTTCTATATGCAGCCACTTTGTGAGTGGTTCAGTTTTGCATTCTGAAAAGGATAGTTTTCTTCGGAAACCACTTTTTTTCTGGTTGAATCACGTTCTCAGGGATGTTTCAGTGATGGTGAATATTTGTCATATAGAAACGGCCAGGTGTTATTTGTCATCCAATCTTGTGACTAGGATGGGGCTGTGAATGGACTGGGTGACTTTTTGAATAGAGGCTGTGGCAGCAGAGCAGGTTGGGGGAGGGTAACAAGAGCAAAGGATGCTTGTGCGGCATCCTAGCCCAGCCTGGGGCCATTATGGTGACAGAGGGATAGGCAGTTGATTGGCTCTTAGTAATGGAGCCTGCACTTAGGCCCTGTGCTTCCAGTCTTTGCTTGAGAGCTGAGGAAGCTATGGACCAGCCCTTCCCAAGCGAGGGCTACCATCAATGAGCTCTTCTTTTCTCCACCCTGCAGGTTCTCTCATTACCTCGGAGGAGTCCCTGGAGGTAACATCAGTAGAAGGTAATGTCTACTATGGGGGATCCCGGTGGGTTCATTACCCCACTGCACCCCTAGGTTCATCTCTGATCCAGAAGAGGTGCAGAGGGCATAGAAAGTAGTGAGCTGGCGTCATGTGCTCAGGTAGTGTGGATATCACCTTGCACTGTGTATGTGCAACTCTGAGTCAATATCACCACACATGAGCTCATGTGTATACTTATGAGTGTGCTCTATAGTTTACTTGCTTTGATGTATGTCATGTCTTAATTGATGTTGGAGGGCAGGTGGTACCGCCCCTTTTCATAGATAGTGCAGGTCAATGGATCATCTGCCTGTCTTTCTGAAGCTGAATGTGGTGGAGGCAGGCTTCAGTCTCAGCCCCCTGGAGTCTGCTGATACAATCACCTCGTAGACTGGTTCTGATGAGCAGCATCGCGACCACCCCTGGCCTAGGATACCAAATATATATGTTCCTAAGTGGCAGTTTCTCCTCTTTTAAAGGATGAGGAGGATGGAGGGTTTTTTTAATCCACAAAGAAACCTCCAAGGACACTGTCCCATGGTGTGTTCCTCAAAGAGGAGTTTCTGGTTAAACTGTCTACTTTGAGAGCAACTCTGGCATTTAGAGTGTGGGCTGGACTGAGCCCAGGCTACCATGCTGGGGTGTGCCCTTGATAATCCAACTACCAAGTGGGACTGGGCTCCCCAAGGGGGCATCGTCCTCCATGCAGCCGCTTTGTGAGTGGCTTAGTGTTGCATTCTGGAAAGGTTGGTTTGCTTTCGAAACTTACTTTTTTCTAGTTGAACCACTTCTCAGGAATATTCCAGTCATGGTGAATATTTGTCATTTGAGGGTGTGTTTTGTCATTTGAGGAGGTAGGGATAGGGTAATAAGAGTAAAGGATGCTCATGTGGCATCCTAGCCAGCCTGGGACCAGTACAATGACAGAGCGATTGGCAAATGGTTGGCTTTTAGCAATGGAGGGTGCCCTTCGGCACTGTGTTTCCAGCCCTTGCTTCAGAGCTGAGGAAGCCATGGACCAACCCTCCCCAAGTGAGGGCTACCATTAATGAACCCCTCCTTTCTCCACCCTGCAGGTACTGTGTTTCCCTCGGAGGCGCTCCTGGAGTCAACTGCAGCAGAAGGTAACATCTACTATGAGGGATCCCTGTGGGCTCATTACCACTCTGCACCCCTAGGTTCATCTCTGATTCAGATAAGGTGCAGAAGGCCTAGAAAGTAGGGTGCTTAGCTCCCAAGAGGGGCCCTTCCACATAAGGCCTTAGGTCTGAACAGGCATCTCTTGCATCGATCGTGTCTGAGACTGAGGAGGAATCAACTTGAAGATACATCTCCAAGGAGTTCTCAGTGGACTCTTGTTTCTAGAGTTTCTGTTATCCTTTCTTGTTGTTCGCTCCTGTGTTCCTCACCCAGCTGTGCTCATCTCTGGCCAGCCTATGGTGCTGGATCTCTGGCTACAGGGCCTTGAGAGGCAGGTGCCTACCTGCTAAATGTAGCCAAATTGCTAGGACAGCATCCTTGCCCTTGCCCTTTCTTTAAGCCCATGTTAGGCCACCCTTGTTTCTTCTTAACAGAGAGAAATCACAATCCTTCAACTCATGGGCATCAGAGGTCATGTACTTCCCCCTTGGGTACCTCCAGTGAGAAATCTGGGAGACATAGTCAATACAGCCTGGGATTCTGGCAGTCTGGGCTTTGGGAAGGGAAGTCACTTCCCATTTCCCATGGGAAACCTTGGCCCTAGGAGAAGCTCAAGGACAACATTCTCACCAAAGCCTCTGCCCTGCCCAGGGTTGGCATGCAGCAGTTGGGAATGCTGATGGTACATGCATCAGGCCCTCCCATTCCTCAGGTCATCTCTTTCCTCTCCCTCTGGCCCATGGGGTGAGGCCTGACTTAACCTCTTTCTCTTTCCTATGATTAAGGACACAGAAGACACTAGAAATGAGGGTGAGACTGGCTTTATTCTGACTTAGCCATGTCCCTTACCAAGATTCCCACATTTTCTTATTTGCAGCAGCTATAAGAGGAGAATCTGTTCCTTCCTCTGGAGTGGTTTCCCCTGAGGACCCTGTTACATGTTAAGAACCACATCTTGGCCTGACAAGCCCTTTGGTATAACTGGTCCAGCCAAGGATGGGAGCAAGAGGGTGGAGGGATTTGGCTGATCTGCCTGTCACACAGGATTGCAGATAGGACTTACTCGGAGTTGCTCTTATCAGGAACTCCAGTGTCAGGTGGGAGTCACATTTCTTCTAGATATAGAGACCTCATGTGGAAGCCCAGTGGAGAGCTCAGACAGAAGCTGAGTGCTGTGGCTGCAGTGGGTTAAGGGTAACTCTCAGGTCACTTCTTCTCCAAGCCCCAGTTCTTGTAGGTCAGTTCTTGTAGGTGCCCTGGACAAATTCCAGGGCTCCGGAGCAATTCAAAAACAGAGATTCCAAGCCAGTATCTTACTTAAAGGGGAATATTAGAAGCATTTCCACTAGTGTGAAAAACAAGGCAAGTATGCCCTCCATCCCCACTGCTGTTCAATGTCATACTGGAGGTAGTAGCCAATGCAATTAGAGAAGAGAAATCAATTAGAGGCATAATAATGAGAAAAGTTATTTTTGCATCCCTCTCCTGGAGTTCTGTATAGGTTACATGTAGACATATCAGAATCAGAGTGAGTATGTTGGTACAGAAATATTTCCTCCACAAGCAGCCCTTTAGAATTGAAGAACTCAGTGCCAGACAGGTTTCTTGACTTTCCCAAAGTTACACAGCAAGACAATATCCAGATCAGGAGTGATGGCTTCTCAGCAGATCCTAGTTTACTTTCAGCCCATGAGTGTCCTCAGAGGAGATCTAATCTTATATATATATATTTTTTTTGATTTTGTTTTTCATCTTCTACAATTGGCAAATGCAGAGACTATCACCACAAATACCGGGTCTACTGTTGTGACAGATAATCAGTAATTTTGAGTCTGTTTCTGTTATGTCATGATGCCAACTATATCCATGGGCTTTACTGTTATTCAGGAAAAGTTTTAGGGAATGGGATGGGAGGGAATGTTGTGAGTACACAGTGACCTGGATCCCAGAGGTCAGCTAGAGTGAAGCTTCCTTCATTGCCCATGCTCCTGGGAGTAGGGAGAAATCAGTCAGAATGTGGCATCTCCAAGAGCCTGTGTGCTTTGGAAGCAGAGACCAGTGGGATCAGTCTCCAGTTCAGAGTGACAACCCAGCTCCCCTATCTCCACAGCTCTGTGCTGACCCCAGCCATCCTGGCCCTGAGGAAGGCTATAAGGCCAGGAAGATCACATGCAAAATGTGCTCCAAGCCAACCTTAGAGCTACAGATACACATCAGAGCTCCTTCCAGGACATCCTGATGCCATCACGCTGCTCTTCAGTGTGGGATGTTATGTGTCCCCTGTCTGAGTGAATCAGGCAGAGCCCATGGTCTGCCTAGAGAAGGGTCTTGTGTATCTCTAGGCCCCTTCCAGGATGCAGATTAGGTGGAGTCTTTTATTCTCCTCCAGCAGAAGCTCTAAGACTTGGGTTTGGGCCAAGCAGTCACTGTCCTCTTCCCCATGAAGAACTCTAACCTTAAGGCATGTTAGAGCCCAGCCTAGTTAGAGATTCTCTCAAAGATATTTGCCTATGGGAAAGACCCTGAATGCCCTGCAGGCCCTGAGACCTTGTCTCTCAGTAGGAGTGTACAAGAGAAATTCTGTGCCTTCCTCTAGGATCTGATTATGATTTGGCTCTGAGACTGGTGAATGGAGATGGCAGGTGTCAGGGCCGGGTGGAGGTCCTGTATCAAGGCTCCTGGGGCACAGTGTGTGATGATAGCTGGGACACCAATGATGCCAACGTGGTCTGCAGGCAGCTGGGTTGTGGCTGGGCCATGTCAGCTCCAGGAAATGCCTGGTTTGGCCAGGGCTCAGGACCCATTGTCCTGGATGACGTGCGCTGCTCAGGGTACGAGTCCTACCTGTGGAGCTGCCCCCACAATGGCTGGCTCTCCCATAACTGTGGCCATAGTGAAGATGCTGGTGTTATCTGCTCAGGTAGGCATCAAAGATCTCTGGAGGGTCAGGTGTGGTGACTCACAACTGTAATCCCAGCACTTTGGGAGGATGAGGCAGGCAGATTGCTTGAGCTCAGGTGTTCAAGACCAGTTCTGGGCAAGATGGCAAACCCCGTCTCTATTAAAAAAAGAAAATCACTTGGGCCCATTCTGGGGACAGACTGTATTCAGAGAATATAGTGACAAACAGGTTTCTCACTCCAGGGCCCCCGCCCAAGACTTTCCTGGTTATCTGGTGGCTCTGGAGTTTAGTTGGGGCAACTGGCCTGTGGGTACAATGCCATGGTCAGCACGGATCCCCAAGCTGCAAGCAGTGCCCCAACATTGGTTTGGGGGTGACTGAGGCACCGGTGTTCAGACACAGGGTCCAGCATGCTGGCATCAGAAATAACGAGCTTTTTATTCTGCTCTAGGAACGTCCGCATAACTCATAGCCCTGTTTTCCCCGATGCTCCTTCTCAGGGATGGCATGTTTCAGGGACCTGGTTGGTGAAACCTCCCCTCCCCTTGAACACCGTATTACCTTGAGTGCTGTCAGCCACTGACCCAGAGGGAAGGATGCATTTGTAAATAGTTCACTTATGATTGCTGTGAAGAGAGGCAGGGAAGTGGGGTAAGGGTGGGAGGATGTCAGTGAGTCACAAATGGTGGGCTCACATGCGAGCTCAGCGTGGGGAGCAGGGGGACCTCCCAGAGGATCACCAAGAATCCACGTCAAACCTCAGAGTCATTGCCGCTCAAGGGTGGAGAGTTAGGGTCTTCATCCACTCATTGCTTAGGGTGGCTGTTTGCTGCTCCCTGGGTGTTGATACTGAGGTTGTTGTGGCCAGTCCCAGGCACCGAAGTGACCTTCATATCCCTGGAGAGTGAGCCGCAGGCACAGAGATGGAGGCAATGCCGGGGGCTGTGGGTTCCCTGAGGGACTGAGGGCTTCACGGTGGGCACTGGCAGGGCCCACTTGGTGGACATGTGATGGGCATCAGCTGAGGGTGTGGCTACCCCAAGTCACTTCAACCTTAACTCTAGTTGGAGTCACTGAGTGTTTGGTGTCTAATGCTGCTATTTTTTCTCATAGCTGCCCAGCCTCAGTCGACGCTCAGGCCAGGTGAGTCCCCAGAATCCTTCCTCGGGATACCCCTTCTCTTTCTGCTTGGTTACCCCTTCCCCAATCCACAGAGCCTTCCTGCTTCTCTGCAGATACTCTCGGGCATGTTATTTTCACCCCAGCTCTATAACTGAGACCCTAGCATGGTGCTTCTTAAGCACACGTAGGATTCAGCTTCTGCCTTCTCTTCAATCCATCTCAGCTTTCATCATATAGTTCCATGCTGTCCCAATGGAAAACCCTTACAGGTTCAGAAAGAAGCCACCTGTTTAATGAGCTTTGGCCCCTTTATATTCTGGGCTGACATAACCTTTCTGAGAATTGAGGGTGAGACCCTCTAATGTTCTGTTGAAGGCAAGGTCAGTATAGGCCTGATACCTGCATCTCTCACTACTTGAAAGACCCTTGAAAGACCCCCAAATTCTGCAGGGCCATGTCTGCATTCAGAAGAGGCAGAGGCCATGCTCAGGTGAGAGAGAGGCTAAGAAATGTTTCTGGTGCCTTCACTTACCAGGAAACCTGATATCCCCCGGGTGGGCCCGCTAGTCCCCCGAATATCTTAGCTGCAAGTGTCAAGACTTGGCAGTGGTGTCAGATGAGTCAGACAGTCCATGTGTCAGTGGATGGTGGGGGATTGAGGTGGCGAAGGTTTCCTAATTGAGAAGAGGTCATCCCTGTCTCAGAGAGAGATGAAAGGGCCTGCATGGTGTCCTTTGTCCCTGAATGAGTTCTGTGGGCAGGAGACCTGGGCAGACACATGGGGAGCAAGTGGCTGGACCTGGGAGTGAAATTGTTTTCACAACCGGGTCCTAGGAAATGCCCGGTTTGGCCAGGGCTCAGGACCCATTGTCCTGGATGACGTGTGCTGCCTGGTCCAGAGAACTGCTTGCTTTTTACCTTTTTCCCTTCAAATCCAATTGTATCCTTTCTCTTTGTTGCTGTTTACAGACAGTTGGCCTGTCAGGATATCACCTGTACTCAAAGAAGGTAAAGAATCCTCTCAACACTCCCTGGGGCTCACTTTCTACCTCTGCATACGCTTCGGAGTTCATAGTTCACTTATGATTGCCATGAAGAGAGGTGGGGAAGTAGGCTAAGGGTGGGAGGATGGCAGCAGGTGATAAACAGTTGGCTCAACAGTGAGCTGGGCACTAGGAACAGGACTAGGACCTCCCAGAAGATCATTAGGAATCATTAGGCTCACGATAGGATGAGGCTCAAGGTGGGCCCTTGCTTCTTCATGTTTCTGTGGGTTGGGTAGGGAGGAAGCTGGAGTCTCTGAAGACCCAGAACTAGATGTGATGTTGGAGAGTGGAGGGTGCTGGCGACCTGTCTCCTGTGGGATCCTGTTCCAAGTGGTCAGGAAAGATCCTCATCTGTGTGCTCAGGACAAGCCTTGGGGGTCTCCCTAATCCTATGGGGACCTCATCCCTGCCATCTCTGGTACTTTCCCAGTCAGCCAGACAGGACCATGCTCCTGAATAAGGGAGGGATCTGGGCCTGCCATCTGCAGCTGAGAAGCTCCATCCTCTGTGTACCCAACTAGATAGTGGGATATCCAGTCCTATCACCTCCACTGGGGTCACAGGTGCTTCCCCAGAAGTTGAGCATCCATAGACCTGGGCAGAGTAGGCTGTCAGTGCTACTTTCACTATAATTAAACCTAATCTCTGGCTTCATTATGCAAAGGTGACTGCCTGCCTGGGTGACTTAGTTCATTAGGAAATGCCCTGAGTGTGGAACTTGCCCTAGATTGTTAGGGGTCTAGGCCTGCCATTTGTAGCTATGTAGCTCCATCCTGTCTGCCCCCAGAGTGGGGAGTGGGGTGTCCATTCCTGGCCCCTCCTCTGGGATGTCATACATGCTTACCCATAACTTGAGCTTTTATAGACTTGAGTAGAATAGGGCATCACTTTTTCCACTATGACAAAGCTTAACCTCTGGGTATGGTAATCTTCAGTCGTGACTGCGTGTCCTGGTGACGTTGGCATTTGTATTCAAACTTGACTACTTTGCCTACTGCTCTGAGTGTTGTACATGCCTTATCCTTGACCTCATCATAGAGATGGATGAAGGGTTCTTGTGTTCCCCTGTAGGACCTGAATCCAGTTTGGCCCTGAGGCTGGTGAATGGAGGTAACAGGTGTCAGGGCCGAGTGGAGGTCCTATACCGAGGCTCCTGGGGCACCGTGTGTGATGACTCCTGGGACACCAGTGACGCCAATGTGGTCTGCAGGCAGCTGGGCTGTGGCTGGGCCACGTCAGCCCCAGGAAATGCCCGGTTTGGCCAGGGCTCAGGACCCATTGTCCTGGATGACGTGCGCTGCTCAGGACATGAGTCCTACCTGTGGAGCTGCCCCCACAATGGCTGGCTCTCCCACAACTGTCAGCACAGTGAAGACGCTGGTGTCATCTGCTCAGGTGGGTCTCCAAGACCTTGGGCTCCCTCTCTTGGAGTAGATTTTGCTCAAGAAGCAAGATCTCATGATGCTCTGATCTCCTCACTCAGAGCTTTTTCAACCTTTCCTATATTTCTATATTCCTTAGCTCTCTGCTAGGAAACAGCATGAGTGTTCATTGCCAGGTTTTGAGGAGGTCAGGCAGGACAATGGCCAAAGTGAAATAAGGGTCACACCTTCGTTCACCGAAGCAGCACAAGCAGAGGGAGAAGACGAAAGCGCCAGGTCTTTGCCTTTTAGTGTGGCTGGAAAGGAATAGCTTGGGCCGGTTTGTTCAGCTCAGTTCTGCTGAGGGCCTCGGGCTACTTGTACTCCTGGCAGAAGAGGATGGGGAACTGGCCTGGGCAGAGGTCACATGGTGAGGGAGGAAGCAAGAGAGGGCAAGAGGGAAGGCCCAGGCTCTTTTCAACCACCAGCTCTTGCTAGGAACTAAGAGAAGAACTCATCGCTCACCAGGAGGGCAGTAAGTTATTCATGAAGGGTGGGTCTCCGTGACCCAGACATGGTGCATCAGGCCTCAACTCTAAACTTGGGGATCCAATTGCAATATGACAGTTGGACGTGACAAGCCTCCAAAGTATAGCACCCTGGCTCTCCAGGGTTCCAACTTTCCCCTACTGAAAGATTTTGCATAAGGGTTACATGGATGAAGCACATATAGGGGATGGGGGAGGGACTGTCTCACTGGAAGGAGCCCAGAACCAAAGGCTCCTGCTAGGAACTGCGGTCTTCTGCTTAGGCCCAATAAGGTGGTGTCTTAATAGAGACACAAGGCTAGGAGTGCAGATCTGTGTCTGTCTGTGTCTGGTCTGGGATTTGGGCACTGTGAGTCCTTGACCACAACTCCCTCCAGAGCACTGCAGTGTTGTGCCTGTGCACCAGTCTGGTGTGGAGTGTGCAGTTCCCATGAGGTCTGCTGGGCAAAGCCTTATTATGAATGCCTGTGGGCTGGGCTGGAAGATCACAGGCAGGACTTTGGCTGGAGTGGCCTCCTCACATTTTTTGACTCAGGGACTGCTAAGACGTGCAAGGGAGAGTGTTGGTTTTGTCAACCTGATTACTATTGGCAGACACAAAGTTAATCACTTTGGAGTTGGCAATAGTGGACAGGATCTGCCTAGACACCTTCCAAGGAGCATCTCTGTGGGGATGTGCATGGCAATACCCCTCCCTCTGTGATGGAGACCTAGGGTGGACTGAAGGCATGACCTGTTTAGTTCCTTCCACCTTTGTTCTGGTTTTGCCAGCTTCGTAGTGCATCTGATCTGACCTCCTCTTTCTCACAGCTGCCCAGTCCTGGTCGACGCCCAAGCCAGGTGATTCCCCAGTGTCCTTCCTTGGGATGTCCCTCTTCTTTCTGCACAATTATCCCTTTCTGCACTCCACAGAGCCCTCATTCTTCTCAGAGTGGATACTTCGGGGCATATGATTTTCCCTTGCTCTGTAACTGAGACCCCAGCACAGTGCTTCAACAGACCTAGGGTTCAGGAGGCTTCTGTCTTCTGTTCCATTTATCTCAGCTCTCGTGAAGCAGTTTCATATTGTCCCAATGACCAACCCTTAGAGGTTTAGAAAGTGGCCTCATATTTAATTAGCTTTGGTCCTTTTCTATTCAGAGCTGATATGACCTTCCTGAGAATTGAGTGATTGCCAAAGTCTCCTGGGAAGCCAATATCAGTCAATAAACATGACTTCTGCCATGGGCAAGCAATGTCAGTGCAGGCCTGATACCTCCATTCCTCATTCCTTCAAACACCCCAGATTCTGCAGGGCCACATCTGCATCCAGAAGAGGCATAGGCCATGCTCGGGCAGGGAGAGGGATAATAAATATTTCTGGCAATTCCACGTACCAGGAGACTTGATACCCCTTGGTTAGCTCCTTGGTTCCCCTAACATTTTAGCTCAAACTAGTAGAGTCTCAGCAATGGTGTCAAATATGCCTGTTAGTCCATGTGTCAGTGCATGGAACAGGCTAACCCTTTGTGACTGAGAAGAGGACATCTCACACTTCAGAGATAGGAGGGATCGAACTAGTCTTCCATCAGGCCTATGTCCCTTGCCGAACTTGCTGAGCTGAAGACTTGGGCAGACACATAGGGAACAAGTGGCAGGAACCAGAAGTGGGGTAGTTTTCATGATGCTTGCCTTGTCCGGAGACCTTTCCTTTTGGGGCTTTTCACCCTCAGGTTTAACTCTAGCCTTGTCTTTGTTGCAATTTATAGACGCGTTGCCAACCACCACCTTACCGGCATCGACAGTAGGTAAATAGTCCTCTCACTCCTCCCTAGGGCTCGCTCTCTACCTCTGGACAAATGTTTTGTCTGAAAATGATAGAATGAGGGTCAAGGAGGGCCCCTCTCTTTTTCATGTCCCTGCGGGTTGCGGGGGAGGAAGGTAGAGTCTGTGGGGACCCAGCTCTGGGTCTGATGTTGGAGGCTGGAGGTTGCTGGTGACTTGTCTCCTGTGGAATCCTGTTCCAACTGGTCAGGAAAGATCCTCATCCAGGTGCTGAGGAAAAGCCCTGGAGGATTCCCTAATCCTACTAAGACTTCATTCCTGTCCCTCAGCCCATGCATTGCAGAGGTGTGAAAAGTCAGTGAAAGTGACTGTCCCCGCACCTGTCTGGCCAAGGCCTTGTCATACCTGTGAAATTTTCAGAAGCCAGAAAGGACCATAGAATTGCCACCAAGCTCCTGAGCATGGGGAGGGTCTCGCCTGCCAACTGTAGCTGTGTAGCTCTGTCCTGGGTGTGCCCAAGTTAGAGAATGGAGTATCCATTCCTTTTAACTCCAGTGGGATCACAGGTGCTTCCCCAAAACTTGAGCCTTCATAAACCCAGACAGAAAAGGGTGTCACTGCTCCTTCAACTTTGATGAAGCTGAATCTCTGGTTGCAGTCATATTCAAAGGTGACTGCCTGCTCAGGTGACTTTAGCCATTAGGATGTGCCTTGAGTGTGGAACATTCCTTAGATCCTTGACCTCCTGATAGGGATGGATGAAGGGTTCTTGTGTTCCCCTGTAGGACCTGAATCCAGTTTGGCCCTGAGGCTGGTGAATGGAGGTGACAGGTGTCAGGGCCGAGTGGAGGTCCTATACCAAGGCTCCTGGGGCACCGTGTGTGATGACAGCTGGGACACCAATGATGCCAGTGTGGTCTGCAGGCAGCTGGGCTGTGGCTGGGCCACATCAGCTCCAGGAAGTGCCCGGTTTGGCCAGGGCTCAGGACCCATTGTCCTGGATGACGTGCGCTGCTCAGGGAATGAGTCGTACCTGTGGAACTGCCCCCACAATGGCTGGCTCTCCCACAACTGTGGCCATCATGAAGACGCTGGTGTCATCTGCACAGGTGGGTCTCCAAGACTTTGGGTCTCCTCTCTTGGGGTAGATTTTGCTCAGGAAACGAGGTCTTAATATGTTCTAATCTCCTCGCTCAGAGCTTTTTCAATATTTCCTATATTTCTGATATCTCCTTAGCTCTCTCCTAGGAAACTGCGTGAGTCTTTACCACATTGCCAGGTTTTGAGGAGGTCAGAGAGGACAATGGGCCAAAGTGAAATAAGGGTCACACCTTTGTTCACTGAGGCAGCACAAGCAGAGGGATTATAGACGCGTTGCCACCAAGCCACCTTACGGCATCGACAGTGGTAAATGAGTCCTTCCTCAGCTCGTCTCCTAGGGCTCGCTCTCTACCTTAGGACAAATGTTCTTGTCTGAAAATGATAGAATTAGGGTCAAGGTAGGACCGCCCTCTCTTTTTTCATAGTGTCCCTTGCGGTAGTGCTTTAATGGAAGGTCTTGGGTCAGGAGATTGAGAGTCTGTCGAGGGCCCAGCTCTAGGGTCTGATGGCTTGAGAGGCTTGGCGAGGTTTGCTGGTGGACTGTTCCTGTGGACCTGTTCTCTCAATCATGGTTTTTATAGTGAATGATACCCTCCATCCAGGGTGACTGAAAGGAAAAGCGTCTCTGAGAGGATTCCTAATCCTACTAAAGACACTTCACATTCGTGTCCCTCGCCATGCTTGCAGAGGTGTGAAAAGTCAATGTGGAAAAGGACTGTCCGCCGCACCTGGTCTGTGCCAAGGCCTGGCATACCTAGTGAAATTTTCAGAAGCCAAGACAACAGGTACCATAGAACTTGGCCCACCCAGTCCTGAGCTTTGCTAGATGTGGGAGGTCTGCATGCCAACGAGCTGTGTAGGCTCTGTCCTGGGTGTGCCCTACAGTTAGCAGAATGGAAGTATCCATTCCTTTTAACTCCAGTGGGATCACAGGTGCTTCGGCTCCCACAAACTTGGAGCCTTCAATAAACCCCAGACAGAAAAGTGGTGTCACTGCTCCTTCCAACTTTGATGAAGCTGGAATCTCTGGTTGCAGTCATATTCCAAAGGTGACTGCCTGCTCAGGTGACTAGGCCTAGGAATGTGCCATGAGTGTGAATCTTCTTAGATTCCTATGACCTCCTTGATAGGGGCTCATGAGAAAGGGGTTCTTGTGTTGCCCCTGGAGGACCTGAATCCAGTTGGGCCCTGAGGAGCTGGTGAATGGAGGTGACAAGCAGTGTCAGGGACCGTTTCGCGCAATGGTCCATCATATACGTGGCTCCTGGGGCTACCGTTGTGTGATGCTAGCTGGGTGACATCATATGATGCAGC